AGAAGATCTCTAAATTCAGGTGGAATATATTCAAGGTCATATTTCGACTCTTGTGGACTTGTTTTAATTTTTTTCATCTTCAGACTAAACTTATATATGAGTAATTGATGGTCTGTTCCACAGTCTACCCGTGACCTTGTTTTGGCTGATGATATGGATTTTTTCCACTGTCACTTTCCACAATTTGATTTCTGTGTAATCCATCTAGTGAGGTCCATGTGTATGTTGTTTTGAAAAGTTATTTGCAATGAAGAAGTCATTGGTCTTTCAAAAGTCTATCATGTGATCTCCAGCACCATTTCAATCACCAAAGCCATATTTTCCAACTACTGATCCTTACTCTTTGCATTCCAATTGCCAGTAATTATCAATACATTTTGATTGCATGTTTGATCAGTTTCAGACTGAAGAAGTTGGTAGAATTCTTCAACTTCATCATCACTGCCTTTAGTGGTTGGTGCATAAATTTGAATAATAGTTGTATTAACTGGTCTTCCTTATAAGCATATGGATATTATCCTATAATAGATAACGTTGTGCTTCAATGCGACTCCATTCCACTTCAATATGTCATTCCCGGCATAGTAAACCATGTGATTGTCAGATTCAAAATGGCCAATACCAATCCATTTCTGCTCACTAATGCCTTGGATATCGATGTTAATGTGGTCCATTTCATTTTTGACAATTCCCAATTTTCTTAGATTCACATGTCGTACATTCCATGTTCTAATTTTTAATGAATGTTTACAACTGTTTCTCTTCATTTTGAATTGTGCCCCATCAGCAAATGCAGGTCCCGAAGGCTTTACTCCATTCGTGTCATCATGGTCAACTCTATTTTGAGAAGGCAGCTCTTCCCCAGTCGCATTTTGAGTGTCTTTCAACCCAAGGGGCTCATCTTCTGGCACTGTATCTGACAATATTCAGTATTCTGGTTCTGACAGTGTCCCACTGCTATTCATAAGACTTGCAGCGGCTAAATATTTGGCAGTAGTCTGCCTCTCCTTCTTCCTAGTCTGTCTTCATCTGAAAGTTCAGCTGAAACCTGTCCACTATGGGTGACTCTGATGATATTTAAAACACCTATGGCATAGCTTCTAGGATTACAGCAACACAGAAGCCACCACAGCATGACAAACTGACTACTTAGGAAGCCATAAAGACTCTACAGGGAACAAATTCAAATACTCCTGGGCAGCATAAATGTATGAATTAGGCTGGGGATTGAAGGGATAATGAGGAATGGGTGGGATGTCATGCCCTTTCTAAAAGAAAGTTAGAGCTACCGGCTGATGGGAAGAGAGGACATATGCACAGGAGTGTCCACACTTGCAGATGATACCCACATGACCTGAACCGGATGACTGGATGATCGGAGCTCAATCAGGAGAGGAAAGAAGAGGGGGAAAAAAAAAAAAAGAGTGAGCTGATACAGTCTGATGAACTTGACCTATACCTATGGAGCAGCAACTCAAAAGAGGGAACAAATCCTCACAGCAAGAAACATTCACACACACACACACACACAAAGTGGACGGAGAAGGGCAGCTTGGACATTGGATACTCAAATGGGGAGGGGGGCACTACAAAGGCAAGAAGTGACTGGCTTACAAGCTTTCAAGAGGGAACCTGGTGCTAGGGAGCATGGCAGAAGACAGAATCTCCAGAAGGCACTATTCAATCTGTCTGGGCGGAGCTGATGAAAGGAGATACAGATGGGTAACTCATGATACTGTAGTGAATAATGCTTATCAGGATGGATTATGAGGGTTGGAAATGCAAAGGTAGAAGTTTTGTAACAAGGAAGGGAGTGATTGATTCTCCAGAATAGGAGCGTAGGCCTCTGGGACCATCAACGGAGAAGAGCCGAGAGCAGGACCCTACCCAGAGAAACAGAGATGCCTGAGATGGAGACAGAGATGATGACGCGGAGTGATGAAGCCACTGGGGACTTTGGACCCAGAGAGGGAAAGGGACTGTAGGCCGAAAACTGGGGGGAGGAGGGGGAAGTGTAGGGAGCGGGTTTCTGGGATATACCCTTTGGGTGGTTGAGGATGCATGGAGGGGATTGAAACCATGGCAATGAGATGATATACGATGGAATGAATGTAAAACTAAAGTTCTCTCATGTAAACTATGATATAATTCACAATAAAACATTAAAAAAAAAAAGAAACTTAGAAACATTGTTGAGGGCTAAGCAAACCAAGTCTGCCTGCTGACTCATTAAACACCAGGTTGCAACCAACTCCTGCATCTAGCACCATAAACAATAAAAAGCTAAGGATATATATGCATGTGTTTGGATGACTTTGCAGATGCTGAAAGTTCTGTGACTAGGTCTTCATCCCACACCCATCCTTCCATTCATTCGTAGATTCATTTATGGGGTACCCCTGTGTACTACACACTATGCTACATACCAATCCCCGTTGTGCCAAAATTTGGATGTGAAATCCTGTTTTGTACCTTTCCAAGTCTGGCTTATTTGCATCAGTACTGTATTTGCAGGTAATGCAGACCCTCTATTTTAAGAAATGAGTTCCAATCCCAAATCCACAAATAAAGAATTATTATAATAATAGCATATTCATGAAAAGCAAATTACTTATCTTGGCGTTTAACATCCTTGTAACTATTCCTGTACTTTTAGTGTCAACAGAAAAAAAGTAATGTCTAAGTCTGGCTGATACCGTAAATTAATGTTAATAACAGTTTTGACACTAATAGCAAGTTTTAAAAAAGAAAAAACCTCCAGTCTCTAAGCTGGGTTTTCATTTCTTAAGAATCCCCTCAGCTCACTGTCACCCAAGACTCCCCTAGAACAATTCCAGCTACGATTTCACCTTCACTGGGAGCCTGAAACGACGAAAGTCTATAAAGGTTCTATGAAATTATCTCTCTTCCCTGTCTTTGCTCACTTACTTTGGGGAAAATATTCATCCCCTTGAGTTATAACAATGGGGGGGGCTCCTCAGCAGACACATTTCTCGACCCCCATAAGCAAATGCATGCCTATATGGCATCCTTAAAGACTACAGGCTGTTTCTTCAGAGTTTGAAAATGTGGTGTGAGAAGTGAGTGTAGACAATTACCATGCACATTAAGTTAATGAGAAATTTCTGACTTTATGCACTTTATTTATCTTGGTATTCTTCCACAGTTGGTACCAACTGTGGCAACTCGATGGCACCTAACAACAACAACAACAGGACTGTGCATAGAGCAGATACTTAATATATTTCCCATGAATAAAATTGACCTGAGCTGAAATTTTAATAGGCTAGAGAAAATAAAAAGAAACCCAGCTCCTTGATCCTACCCTCTTTGCCAGTTATTTCTAGAAGTCATTGAAGATTCAAGCAGCCCCTCGGAACTCAGATCCAGCCAATAGGACATGGTTAATCTACAACACCCACCTCTATAATTACTTAGAAACTCCTAGACTTTAAGAAAAGCATCTCTTCCAACTTCCAAACGTTGTTCTTTTTCTATTGCTAATTGAGTGTTTTACTTTTTAGGCAATCCTATAATGAACAAGCTCAAATGAGCAGAGAAGCAGCAGTGACAACCCATCAATAAAATAATTAACTCGAAGTGGATTTTGCTAGACACTTCTCATGTCATAATAGGAAATCTGGGCTACTTAACATTAAGGAAATCAAATAGAATCATCCTTTTGTTTTAAAAGGAAAGTTAGCTTCAAAAGTCTCCCTTCCATAGAGCCCCATCGACACTGCTCACAGTACTGGCCATTTACACTGGAAGTGCATACACAATAGAAAGACCAAAGAAGTACATGATGATTTCCAGAATTTTCTTTTTCCTTTCCATAGTCATCACTCAGAATTGTCTGTAGAATTTAGGCAAGGAGACCACCAGCACATTTTCTCTTTCAGTTTTAATATTCAGATCAAGGCCTCATTCCCTAAGGTTTTGTGTTTTATCCCAAAACTAGCATGCCACGGAAATGCGGGGAGGAAATCAAAGTATGACAGGCGCAGATGCAGGGCAAAATCCCATCTCTTCTCTGTCTCCCAACCAGTGAAGGAGAAGGGTTCCTGACAACAAAGACTACCTATATTTCTTTTGTGTTCTCTTCCCCAAAGCATAAATTCCACTGGTTGGTCTAAGAACCTGTTGTCCTTGTCTTGCAACCTAAACTCCATGCTGCCAATGACCCTTTCACCCTTAACCCCCAAGCTTTACATCACCTCTGGTATGGATTATGGAAACAACTCCTTCAAGAACTGACACTCAATGAGGACCAGATGGCTTCTAACTTCTAGTTCTAGACAAGAAATGGGGGGGGGGACCCAGAGTTAGCTTCAGGTTCTATTGAGTACAGTATTGAAAGGTAAAGCAGAAACTCAATAAGGAAATGACATGGACTTGAAGTCAGTCAGGCTGATGCCCAAAGTACAGACTGCATACTTGTGGTGGTTATGTGCCGTTGAGTCGGTTCCAACTCACAGCGACCCTGCATAGGACTTCCGAGGCTGTAAATCTTTACGGAAGCAGAAAGCCTCATCTTTCTTCCACGGAACAGCTGGTAGTTTCGAACTGCTGACCTTGAGGTTAGCAGCCTGACTCGTAACCCCTATGCTACCAGAGTTGTTGTTAAGTGCCATCGAGTTGGTTCTGACTCATAGCGACCCTGTATAGGGTTTCCAAGGAGTGACTGGTGAGCTTGAACTGCCAACCTTGTGATTCAAACCTACTTTGCAGTCCAGTGCGTTAACCCACAGCGCCACACCAGGACTCCCGCTACCAGATTCACTACCAGAGTGTTGTTGTTAAGTGCCATCGAGTTGATCCCGACCCATAGCGACCCTGTATAGGGTTTCTGAGGAGCGGCTGGCAAGCTTGAACCGCTGACCTTGCAGTTCAAACGGCTTTGCAGTCTGGCACATTAACCCACAGCGCCACACCAGGACTCCAGAGTGGAGACCCTTAAATGGCTCCATGATATGGGTCCAAGTGGAATAATTACATACCCATGCTCCATCGGGTCCGAACAGTTCTAGGAAGTTGCCAATGAATTCCCTTGACTTTTCTTCCCACTTTTGAATTAGATCATGACTCTTTTCTTCCACTCTGTTAACAAATTCCTTGGATCTCTCTTCCACATTTTTTACCTTTTCCTTCATCTTATCTACTTGGTTCTGGAAACGGTACTTCTTTTCCTGGTCAAAAATTGAAGGAGAAAGAAATGTGTTTACCCAAGAGATCATTCACAATCAGTCACACTAATGGTCACATTTTGTTTCAATTTATGTTTGCTTCTAACTTAAGGAGCAGGGTGTTGGCCTTTTCTAAGGACTGGCTTGAGGGGAATGTAACTTTCTCATAGGAAAAGTGGTTTTAAGGTTCTTTTTCATTTTAAATCTCGCTGAGAGGAATCAAAAGTATATATTTATCCTTTAGGATAAGTAGACATTGGACAAATATCTCCACTCAGTTCTGTTAAGCCTTACACTTATACAGAATGAGCACTCAGAGGCTGCCTGAGTTATTGGTAACACTGTTAAAGTCAGTATTACTTGGAATGAGTAGGCCATTGGCTGGGCCTTTGAACTAATGTGCTATACTGAAATTTTCATTTTAATAATATTAAGATAATTGAATTGCATCTATTTCCTTGGTGCTAAAGAAAGCTTTTATTTTGATAGTGCCTCTGGGCTGAAATTTTGTTCTTCTTATAATCTTTATGCAGCAATAGTGTCTACTGATGTGCCTGGAAGCCATCAGTGTTGGTAATTCAGATGTCACCTCAAAGCCTCAGTTTCATCATTTATAAAATGGGGATAATGATCAGCCCTACCTCCAAGAGCGTTGTGACTATTAGATAATGCATGTAAAGTCCTTGTCCCAAAGCCTGGCATTTAGTGACCACTCAGGATGTGTTGAGTGTATCATTACTGTGAAATTTCTAAGACATTTTATCTGTGTTATCTAATGAGGGTGGTATTAAAGCCATGAACATAATACCGTACAATCTGTGACATCGTGGCACTTTTTCTCCTAAAGGGATAACAAAGTTAAAGATCTTTCTGTACTTTGTGGAACCAAGAGAACTCGGTGGCTTTGTATTACAGTGGACTGTGAACCACAAGGTCGGTGGTTTGAACCCACTCACTCCAAGGGAGAAAAGTGAGGCTGTCTGCTCCCACAAAGATGTACAGCCTCAGAAACCCTATATAGGGTCACTATGAGTCATAAGTGACTCGATGGCATTTAACAACAGCAGATGGGACTAAAGTTAATTTGGATTTTTTATCATTTTTGAGACATCTGCAATATTGCAAAACTGGATCAGGATTCCTTGATTTAGACCTTCCAAATCTTACTGAGGCCTTAGGGTGGGGTATGGGCTTATGTGAGTGGGCTTTTAAAATTCTTGGAAAAATTCCATTATCTTTTCCTTGCTTTTTCCATGAACTTTTTGAAGCCCCCTCATATGTGTTATCATGTTGTTATTGTTGTATGCCATTGAGTCTATTCCAACTCTTAGCAATTCTACAGGATAGAGTAGAATGACACCATAGGGTTTCTAAGGCTGTAGTTTTTACAGAAGCAGATTGTCACATCTTTCTCTCACAGAGTGATGGATGGGTTCAAACCACCAACCTTCCAGGCAACAACCAAGCACTTAACCATTGTGCCACCAGGGGTCCTTGTTACCCACAAATATGTTATGGAAAGTCACAACGCCAACCAGCACTTACCATGTGACCTTGGGTGAGTTGTTCAACCTCTCTGTGACTGTGTCCTCACCTATGAGGGGGCTTCAAAAAGTTCCCAGAAAAATTCCATTATCTTTTCATTCAATTTTCCTATGAACTTTATGAAGCCCCTTCATACATGTTGGAAACAAACATTAAACGTAATTTCAAAAGTTTACCATGAAGATGAATAAGAGAATCCTTGTAAAACACTTAGATGAACACTTAACAAGCTCTTGATCAATGCTAGCTCTTGTCTGTACACTTATATTATTCGCTTCCATAGTTCACTCTGCCCTGGATGTAGTTATTATGCACAGCTCTCAGGGGCAACACAGACTAGTAGAATTAAAACTGGACTCAGGGTCAGGAGATTGGGAGGATGCGTTATGTGGGGGATCTTGGCCAGGTGACCTCTCTGAACCCAGCTTCCTCATGTCTAAATGCAGAGAACTAGACTGGGAGACTGACCCCTGTCAGGTCCCTGCCACCTCTAAAGTTCCATGATTCATATACACAACCATCCAACCCATTTGATTTCATCCCTGAGCTGCAACCAAGTTTGTTGTCACAAAAAGGCAACAAGCACATCCACACTGAACTACACGGTTCCATGAGCTAAGTGGCTTCTCTAAAGGCTGTTTAAAGAGAGTGAGCAATAACTTTTGGAAATGGCTTGACATGCTTGGATGGTTGACTGAATTCAATTTTTTAAAAAAGACAGTTTAATTTATTGAAATAACCAGGGCTTTATTCTCTATCAGATACAAAATAATCACGTTGACTGAATTCTTTTCAGCCACCTGTTCGGGTGCCACTCGAACCCAGCATTTTCCGTTTTGTTGCCTGGCTAGTATAAAATCAGAGCCTGGAGTCCCAGCACTCCTTGCTTTTCAAGGACAACTAATAATCACTGATTTTACAGTGAATGACCCCTTCCTATTTTGACATTTCCAATGATTAATTGTGTAAACATGCTGGATCATTATGGGTGCACATGTTTAAGTGTCTAGGTTTGTAGACAAATCTCCTTTTGCACATACAGTATCCTTCCCCCCACAGCCCCCCACCCCACCCCCCAGACTGCAATTCTGTATGGATGAAGAGTTCTCTTTTAATCAAAGACAGCAGCACCTTGATGCCCAGGCAAATACAGTTGTCCAGACCCACTAGCATCACCTCAAACAACTGCGGCTGCCCTCTTTGCTTTTTAACAGCTTGTTTTGCTTGTTTTAAAGATTGTTTTAACAGTTGCTCTATCATTAAACTAACAGCAGCTCTGTGGGAACAATGCAGTGGAAATACAAAAGGAAGCCAAAGACTTTAGGCTTTATTTAAGCAGCTGTAATTTCTCTGGACAAGAAAAAATGGCTGTTAAGGTTTCTAATGAGCATCTGTAAGCCCTTAATAAAATGAAATTGGGCAGAATAAAAAAAAGTATTAAAACAAGAAAGCATTTTCTTTGAGTTGAGCTTTTCATTATGTCTGCCTCCTCCCTTCCTTTTTGAGAAAAAGATAACCCTTGCCTTGCACAAGGCACAGCTCTCTTAGAAACCCTTGATCCAAGTCTGAGAACCCTAAATAGGGAAATTGGGGTGAGAGGAGGGGAGTGAGACCGCTCCTTGTTTAAATGAGAAGCTCACAATCTGTGTTCCTGTAACATGGAAATAATAATAAAGCATTGGCTTGTAGTGTGGGTTAAATGAAACAACACATATGACCTGTTTTGAACACTGTGTAGCATATAGTAAGCATTCCATAAACATTAACGGTGGTAGTGGTGGTATCCTCAGAGGGTGTATGTAGGAAGGTATGCTTACGTTTATAAAGCTGACGTTCAGTTCCTTGGCTGTGTACCCTCTCTGGAGATTGCGTCGAGCATAAACGTCATAGTCACGGACAATTCTGGTGATGATGTCTGATGTTGAGATGCCTTCTGTTCTCTGGGTTGGGACAAACATTCCTGTCCAAATAGGAAAGGGGAGATTAAAAAGACAAACTCAGATCAGCTAGGTTGAACCATCTCTTTTACGGCACTCCTTTACAGTATAAAGTTGTATACAAGCGCCAGTGAGGTCCCAACTGACTCTTCCAGATTCTATACGCTCCCTCCTTACCGCAAGCGCTACATATTCATTGTCCTGGATCCATTCCCAGGATGCACCATGCACTCTCCCAGCTTCTGGTATTTGCTCTTGCCAAGCCCTGCTTTTCTGCTCTGGACACATTCCTGCCCCCATCAGCTGCACAGTTCCTTCCATCGTGCAAGTTCCAACTTCAAGGTAATGCTTCTGAGAAGTTCTTCCTGACGTCAATAGGCAGAATCCACATCATTTAGGCCTTCCATTAACCAAAGAAGTTTTGTGTGTCTGTTTGCTTGTAGAAAGCAAGTATTTTGAAAGCACAGATTATGCTTTAATTGCCTTTGCATCTTCAGCACCTAGCTCTGTGCCCGTGTGTAGCACGAATGCAAACTGACTGAGTAAATGAATGAAGGAGGCATAACAACTCAGTCAATGGATTAGTCGGATCACAGCAACACCTCTTCTCTCTGCAAGGAAGTCTGCATCACATCATACCAGGAGAGGAAGAAAATGTAGACTATTTCAGTTGTTTCTGATCTAAAAACATGCCAGTGGGGTGCTAGATGATTTTATTCCCTGAATTACAGTCTACTCTGCATGGTAGTTCTGCCACTCAAAGGCCTTTTCATCTACAGTGTGTAGGGTTGACTAAAACAAACAAGCATCGAGAACGTAAAGTTCTAAAAGGACGTCTTTAAAATCTTCAAACACTTGCTGAAAGTGAAAAGGACTTGTAACATTTACTGATGAAGATCAACGAGCACAGCCTTCGGTATGGATTGCATCTCAATGTAAAGAAAACAAAAATCCTCACCACTGGACCAATAAACAACATTCTTATCAATGGAGAAAAGATTGAAGTTGTCAAGGACTTCATTCTTCTTGGATCAACTATCAAAACTACTGGAAGCAGCAGTCAAGATATCAAATGATGTATTGCATTAGGCAAATCTGCTGCACAGGAACTTTTTAAAGTGTTGAGGAGCAGAGACGTCAGCTTGAGGACTAAGGTGAGCCTGACCCAAGCCATGGTGTTTTCAATAACCTCATATGGATGCGAAAGCTGGACAGTGAATAAGGAAGATCGTAGAAGAATTGATGCCTTTGAGTTGTGGTGTTGGAGGAGAATACTGAAAGTGCCATGGACTGCCAAAAGAACCAGTAGATCTGTTTTAGAAGAAGTGCAGCCAGAGTGCTCCTTGGAGGCCAGGATGGCTAAGCTTCGTCTCTCATACTTTGGACATATTGTCAGGAGGGAACCGTCGCTGGAGAAGGATGTCATGCTGGGTAAGATGGAGGGTCAGAGAAAAAGAGAAAGACCCCCAACAAGATGGATCGGTCAGGTGGTATCATTGATGGCATCAAATGTGGCAGCGGTAGTGAGGTTGGTCCAGGATCGGGCATTGTTTCGTTCTGCTGTGCATGGGGTCGCTATGAGTCAGTTCCGACTCGATGACACCTGACAACAACAACAACAACAATATGAGGAAGTCCTGGTGTGGCACTGCAGGATCAGCACTGGACTACTAACCACAGGGTTGGTGGTTCAAACCCACCATCGACTCCTTGGAACCCCTATACAGGGTCGCTATGAGTCAGAGCTGACTTGATGGCAATCAACAGCAACAACAAAGACATGAATTGGTTTGTGCTCCCGCTTCTGTTATCAACCAAAATAATGTGTTGACTGTTGATATCTTTCCACCTAATACCATTACAGCCACTTAGTCAGAGACATTAGGCATAGGATGATATGACAGACAGACTGGGGACAAGGAAACCGGGTCTGTCTTTGGGCGAGTCACTTGGACCCTTGGAAGGCAATGTATTTAATCTCAGTTTCCTCAGCTGAGAAATGTCATGGCTGAAACAGACGATCTGAAAGTAATCTGGGCCACTTCCTCCTCCCTCATTCCCCACTTCCAATCAATTTCCAGCCACCAATCTACTTCCTAAATGTATATCCACTTTGCTCCATCCTCCATCCTCAACAAATCCAATACCATCTTGTTAAAAAAAAAAAAAAATGCAGCAATATCCTGATAACAAGTCTCCAATGATGTTGTTTTTGTCCCCCTCAATCCATTCCTCCCATAGTGCTAAGAGTGATTTTTCTAAATGCAAGTGAGATGCCCTGCTTGAAACCTTTCATAGGCTTTCTACTGCCCTCCGGATTTAGATTCAAACCCTTAACTTGGCTCTGCAACAGTTGGCATTATATCTTTCCAGTACTCCTCTCCAGTCTCAGCTAAGACCCCATCCCCTTCACTTCCTAAAGCAAGGCCCTTGTGCTGCACATCTGTAGATGACACCATTCTCATTGCTGCCCATTGGATCTGGGCAGTAAGCTGATCATGCCTTGGTCCAACCATCTAGGACTTCTGCGATGTCCTGAAAGGATAGCCTCCCCTCACTTCACTCTGTCAAAACACATACACTCTACTTGGTCAACTCTTGGTCATTCATTGAGTTTCCACTTTGATGTCATTTCTTCACAGAAATCTCTCAGCTCCAGGTGAAGTCTTCCCTCACAATGGTCTACTGCTCTTTTCCTTCAAACACTCCAAGTCTTTGTAAAACAACTTGTTCAAGAATTATCTTCCCCATTTGAGGAGTGGAGTGATTAACTTTGCAGTCTAGGAACGGAGGTCCCTGGGACCATGAATGGAGAAGAGCAAAGAGTGGGACCCTACCCAGAGAAGCAGTGATGCCTGAGATGGAGGCAGAGACGATGACGTGTAGAAATGAAGTGGCTGGGGACTTTAGTCCCAGAGAGGGAGAGGGGCTGTGTGCTGACGACCGGGGCAGGCTTGCAGGGTACACCCTTTGGTTGGTTGAAGATGCATGGAGGGGATTGTAACCATGGCAATGAAACGATATACAATAGGATGAATGTAAATCTAGTGTTCTCTCATGTAAACTATCACATAATTCACAATAAAACATTTTTAAAAACACACAATAAAAACAGCTAAAATGAATAACGAGAACTACTGTTAATTGATGGTTCAAGGATGGGATTGTAACCATCATAATGAAACACAGTATATGATTTGTTGAATGTAAAACTGATGATCTGCCCTGTAAACTTTCACTCAAGTCACAATAAAAACTTTAATAATAATAATAATAAATTTTTTTAAAAAAGAATTATCTCCCCCATTTGACTATAAGCTACATGGAAGAAGGATCTGGACCTCTCTTGTTCTTTTCTATATTTTCAGCACCAGATGAGAAACAGGCACTAAAGAATTATTTGTTGAATGAATGACTAGATGAATAGCTTTGATCAAAATTTGTGAATTTTTCAGTGCAAGTCCCAACTAGGGTGTCCCTTTGGGGATTTACTTTGATATCATCTGCACATTTATATACAGTTCATTTCAGCAGCAGGGTGGTGATGCTGATGTTAAAGAAACAAAGCATCCAATTTCTAATGTAGCATGGCTCAGAGGGCTGGGTTGGAGATTGCCACTGGACCAAAAATCTCTTTTATCACCTTCTTGGAAGGTAGAATCCGATATAGAAAACCAAACGGAAGGCAGAGAATGCAAACATCTAAATGCATGGACATAAAGCGCACCCAAACTGACCAAGCTGTGTAGGGGGCTCTGGTGGGCATGGGAACCCAGAGTGGGAGGGTAGGAACCCTGATGATACCTCACCTTGGTGGGAACAGCAGGAAGCTTACTAGAAAGGTCTTTATACCATCTTTCAGCAAGCAGATATTTCATCTGCACGCCTGCCTACTGAAATGTTAAGAAGATTTTCTAGCTACTAACCAAACGATTTTAGCAAGTCATTTAGACACGTATGACATGAGCTCACCTTTTCTATGAATTCAGAAGGTAAGGTCTCTGTGGTTGAATAACAAAGGGGAGTTGGGGTTGGGATGGGGGAGAGATTTGCTTTGGCTGCTTGGGAGGTCGGTCTCTAAAAGAAGCCAAGCCCTCTGCTGATATAATGAGGCACCCGGCTTCCTCCAAATCCTAATTATTGCTCTGCTAAAAATATTCAGTAATGAGCATGATCAGAGAACCTTTTTTATCATGCTTTTCAGAATTACGGTGTTTGGTTATGGAGCTATTTTAAGCAGCAGCAAAGCACATGTTAATGAAGGAAACGTTCAACAGTAGTAGGCAATATTAGAACGATGATGAGTAATGTGGACCTTGGTCTATTTAATTTAAGCTCTAGCTTTTCTTCCAGTTTTGCTAGGGGAGCTTGACATATAGCTATAATAAGCAGAACAGAATGCTATAAAATTCACATCTTTGATATCTCTGGCTTCATTTGAAGTGATTTTTGAGTTTCAAAATAAACCACGCTTAGCGTACAAAAGCCAAATGTGGATACTCAATTTCTGATCATCTTCTCCCAAAATGAATGCTCTGGCCTTCTCTACCTGGGCCCTAAACACATTTCCACTGTGACTCTCCCTCTAGGTGAGGAATCAGCAGAGCAGAGCAAAGGACCACAAAGTGTCCTTGTGCCTGTGATTAGTCATCTGTAGTCTTATGCAGAGTAAAATGCCAACTGACTAATTCAATTTGAAAATGGGGACCGGAGTGGATTAAAGATGGTCACAATTAGCTTCCTTCCCCTTAAATCTGAACTGGCCTTAGTGACTTGCTGGTGACAAACAGAATGTAGCCCTGTGACTTCCAAGGCTAGGTCAGAAGAAGCTTGTTCTCAGCAGAATGCTCTTTCTTGGAACCTAGCTGACATGCTGTGAAAGGCTCAAGCCACATGGAAGGATCATGGGTAGATAACCCAATTACAACTTCAACTGAGCTCATTGCTAACAACCACCATTAGTAGCCAGCCATGTAGATCCACCCTCTGGGACCCTCCATCCCAGTTGAGCATTCAGATGACTTCAGCCCCAGCCAACATCAGACTATTGTTGCTTGAGAAACCCCAGCAAGAACCTCAAACCAAGCCCTAGCTGGAACCTTAACTCACAAAATCATGAGCAAATAACGTCTCTTTCAAGTTACTAAATTTAGGGGTAAATTTACCTAAACAACTGGAACTTGACATTTTGCTCCCTAAAATCAGGAAAGCAACTTATTCTTAGATCACCAGAGGCCACTTACCCAGAGATCAAATAGCTACCAAATACTTGTTCCTCTATTACCAACTAGTTGAGGAATAATCAACCCAGCAAACACCCATTCACTTCACACTGGGAAAAAGTCAGTTGAACCAGGATCTCTATGGACCTGTAGCATCTAAAAACCTGGGCATTTGTTAAAGATGGGAAACTCAGGCCCCAGCAGACCTACTGAATCTGAATATACACTGTAACCAGACCCCACAGGCACTCTGCAGGCCCATTCAGTTTGACAAGCACTGGTTTATACCAACTCCTTCACAGCCATTTTAGGGCAGGAGAAGCTGACTCACAGCTCAGATTTTACAAAACCTTAACCATCTCAATATGGTTGATGTCTCAGCGAGGCTCTTCACCCTCTCCCCACCCTTCCCAGGACAGCAGCCCTCAGCAGCCTTCCAAGTCTATAATGTCTGATGTTTCCTTTCTTAAAACTCCTTAAAAAATATGATTAGAAATATGATGTCAGTTTGAGGACTAAGGTGGGCCTGACCTAGGCCATAGCATTTTCAATAGCTTCATATGCATGTGAAAGTTGGACAATGAATAAGAAAAACCGTAGATGAATCGATGCACTTGAGTTATGGTTTTGGAGAAGAATATTAAAGGTATGATGGACTGCCAAAAGAACAAATAAATCTGTGTTGGAAGAACAGCCAGAGTGCTCCTTGGAAGCCAAGATGGCCAGACTTCATCTCTCATACTTTGGATATATTACCAGGAGGGACCAGTCCCTGAAGAAGAACATCAAGCTTGGTAAAATGGAGGGTTCGTGAAAAAAAAAGGAAGACCCCCCCCATCGAAATGGACTGGCACAGTGGCAGCATCAATGGACTCAATGGCACTTAACAACAACAACAACAATGAACTGCCAGAAGAACAAACAAATCTGTGTTGAAAGAAGTACAGCCAGAATGCTTCTTAGAAGCCAGATGGTGAGACTTCGTCTTTCACACTTTGTTATCAGGAGGGACCAGTCCCTGGAGAAGGACACCATGGTTGATAAAGTAGAGGGTTAGTGAAAAAGAGGAAGACCCCCAACAAAACGATTGGTACGGTGGCAGCAGCAATGGGTTCAAGCATAACGACAATTGTGAGGATGGTGCAGGACAGGGCAGTGACTCATTCTGTTGTGCATTGGGTCACTGTGAGTTGGAACCAACTCAATGGCACCTAACAGAAACAGCAACAAGAATTTGAGACTTCCAGGCTTCGCATTCTTATCCAGCATCCTGACTACTGAGGGTACCTTATATAAGAGGACATGATAAACCCAGCCACTAGCTCTGCCCCAAAAGGTATGCATCAACAAATACATCATCTGAGAGAATAAGCACACTACTGGTAACAGAATATTTTCTGAAATATTATCCAAAGTCATGTTCATTTCTGGGGATGCTGGCTGCCCTGAGGCCTGTCCCCACTGACACTAAGACGTCCATCACTTCAGGGGAAGGTAGATACAGCAGAAAATACAGGAGACCATGTTCAGTTTTGAATTTTAAAGCAGACTCTTGTTAAAGTTCATTCATTAAAAATAATAATAAGTGGAATACGGCACCTTATCCAGAGAAGCAGCGACACCAGAGATGGAGGCAAAGATGGGGACAAGGAGAGAGGGAGCAGCTGAGGACTCTAGATTCATGGAAAGAGAGGGACAGCCAGGAGGCAGACTTGCAGAATGTGCCCTTGGTGGTTTAAATTATTATACATGCCTGAGTGTTTAAAAAAAGAGAGAGCTAAAATGAATGGAGAGAAATCCTGTTAACTGATGGTACATGGTGGGGATTATAATCATTGCAATGAAACAAAGTATATGAATTGTTGAATGTAAAACTGATGATCTGCCCTGTAAACTTTCACTCAACTCACAATAAATATTTGAAAAAGGAAATAAAAAAATTAATAATAATAGTTATGAAAGGCAAGACTTTCCCTTGAAAGGACTAGGCTTTGAGAACAAAAAGGGTTTCCTAAAGCACCAAAGTATCCCCTGGATTATGAAGAAACAGAGGTTAATCAGATTCAGGATACTGCATATTTTACTTTAAGTCCAAGAGTAGGGAAGACATGGAATTAACAGTGGAGCAGTTTTCCACCCTCCAAGAAGAGTGGTCATAATGAGGGATCAGCGGGTGAGCAGCAAAACTGAGGGAATGTGAGTGAGGCTTATTGCCTGCCCCACTCAGGTCCAAACCCCAGGGGCAGAGGCAGAGAAAAGACTCCTTTAAAAAAAACAAACAAACAAAACAGAGCTGAGGGGCTTGCACTTGGTTTCCAAGCATGAGTTTTGGGAGAAAATCATCTTGGGGAGGCTTTGTACCAACATAAGGAGGTCTCAATAAAGTATTTCTGATGACAGACAGGCGAGTCAGGGCAGGATATGGCTTCCTCCCCTCCTATGTCCCATGTTCCCCTTGCTCTACTATAGATTATGGAGAGATTTAAACATTTCCTGAAGACCCTTAAGGAAACATAGAAGGCAGTTGAGATTTCCACTCAACATGACTGCTGGATGGGTCACCATAACACAGGGAAAGGGATCCCGCAGAAGAGACTACGGCCAAGCCAGGCCAAAGAGAAGGTGGTTGGGGAACAGATGGAGGAAGTGGCTGACATCAGAGCGCTGTGGTAAGGGAAGGAATAATGAGAGCTCCATGGGTGGAGTTCCACTGGCCCCCCAAAATGGGGGAAGGTGGCTCTGATGGCAGATGTCAAAGGGGGAACAGCTCTAATACAATTGGTGTGGAAGGCTTCTTGACATCTCTAAGAAAAGCACTTGTTAGATGCCCACGAGTCGATTTCAACTCAGAGACTTTATGCACATAAGGTCGCTCATTAAACTAGAGTATCTGTACCATGCCAGATAATGGTTTAATGGACATATGAACATACATACATACAGTGACTATAATGAGAGATATGGCAGATAGCAAATGAGCAGAAAATAAATCAGGCCGTTAAAAATCGACTGCCACAACTACCTTTAGTCAAAGTATCAATTCTAGTCCATCCCTTTCCCAAACTCCGACTTTACAGAAATGCTTTGTAACAAAGGTGTCAGCTTCCAGAAGCTCAGGCATCAACTCTGCCTTCCAGGATGTCACTTATGACTTTGAGAAAGGAAACATTATGTTTGATTCTACAAATGCTTATCCATTCTATTTTTGCCTCCACATGTGGTACCTGAGGATATTACTATCACATGACAAGATGACACTACAAATATGGCAAGACTGAGTTTGAGACAAGGAGTCCAGATAATTCATTTGCCAGTTACCTGTCTTCTTCTGAAAGGAACTTTCTTGAAACTATAAAATCATTTCATTGAAAAGAGTTAATCAATTGTTAATGAGGAAAGTAATAGGGTCTTGTGATTTTCGTTTGGTGAACTCTAGAATAGAGCCTCAAACCTGAAGTTGAGTACGTGGGTGCTCAGGTTGATATAAATGCCCAAATGATGCCTTAACACATGCCAACATATTTTGTAGAGGCTGTTTGGAAGACACCGGAAATTCTAATGCCTTGTATGTATCTGCTGCAGTTCTAGGGCACATGTCTCTTATTGAACCCAGTAATTGGGCATCAGTAGACAGGTAAACACAAGAGAACTCACCTGCTTCCTTTATATGCTTGTAAACATCATCAGAGCCAGCAGAGGAATATGGGATGTCATCATGGGCCACAAAGTCAATCTGTTAAGAGAGAGAAAAATGACGGCACCAGTGGGATGTCTTCAAATGAGTTGGAATCAACTTGATGACAATGGGTTTAGTGCCCCCAAATGCCTTTTTGAAATAAGACATTTTTTAGTTAAATGTCTTAATTGTGGGGCTGAATCTTGTCTGAAAGAAATTTTCCACTCTGTCTCATTACCATGAGATAATGGAAGCTAGAAGAATAAATATTTGGTTCCTCTCTTTTACTGGTCCACTTTTCTTCTCTTACCTCTGACAGTGAGTTCTCCTGGCCTTCTGTTAAACTTTCAGATTTTAATCACCTATGCTAGGATGACGAATCCAAATGTCCATTTCCTGTTCCAGTGATAGCAACAGGCCCTGAGGTTTAAGTCATATTTTATACAGTGAAAATTAACTACGTGTCTCTCTTTCCATTTCATCCTCACAATCACTTGGTGAGGTAGGTAAGGCACATATTACTATTCCAGTTGAGATATAAGACTGCTGAAACCAGAAAGAAAGCTTGTGAGATATGTCCAAAGCCACACAGTTCATCAATGGTCTTGGGCAGAAGGTGGGCATCTGGGGGACCAAGTCAGGCTTTCTGAACTCACTCCGCAGTCCTTTTCTCTGTCACCACCTCCTGCTGTCACTTTAAAGTGAACCTGTCCAGACTGGAGTTCATCTTTCTGAAAACTGGGGCCCTCACCAATGGCACCTCCAGTTTTCCTCAACCCCAAACCTTGGATTTGGATCTTCTTTCCCTACTCCTGGCCGATCACAAGTTCCATTACTGTGAGTATGTGTTTGTGTATGTACGTGTGTACACCCATCACTTCCTCTCTGTTAGTACTCTACCAAATCCAGGTCCTCGTCACCCATATTATTTCCACTAACTTGTATCTGTCCTTTCTCATTGTAGGCTTTCTCCCCTCTAAGCCATCCTGCTACCACATGGGGAGTCCTCCTGAAACAGTTTCCTTGTTGTCACCCTTGTGCCTGCTGGTCTTCACTGGTTCTCTCTTTCCTATGACATTAATTAAAAACTCTTTGCTTGGTTTCCTATGACATCAGATAAAAACTTCCCTCCACCTTGAGAGGTAGTTTATATTAGTAGTTCAGATTGCTTTGGTATAATTTCTGTTCCACCACTTACTAGCTCTTTTAACTCCTGAGTTGCAATCAGGATGAAAGCAGAGTTTATTAGCCTCGGTGCTAGTAACATTTGGGGCTGGATGTGGGAGCTGTCCTGTGGTGTGGGAGCTGTCCTGTGCATGATAAGTAGCACCCCTGGCCTTTACCCACTAGATGCCAGTAGCACCCCTCTAATTGTGCCAAATAAAAATGTCTCCAGACAATGCCAAATGTCCTCTGGGGGGCAATCTCACACCCAGTTGAGAACCACTGGATCAAATCATATAATATATATCAAAGTGCTTCAAATAATAACTGGTACACAGTAAGTATTCAATAAATGCTAATTACTATTATTACACATTCTATTTTTATTACTCAAACTTAGCCCCTCCTCCTTTCCAATGTATAACAATAACAACAGCAGTTACTTCTTAGGGTAGCCAAGATGTTGAGTGTGATCATGTAAATAGTCAAGCACTTAGCACAGTGCTGGGCACACAGTAGTTAATAAGGGGCAGCCATTATATTGTTAACAGCATCTCCCATGATGCCTAGCACAAGTTGCATATACAATAGATGCTTAGTAAAAATGTGTTGGTGATTGCCGGACGCAAATCATATTGTAGTTTTTCTTCTTTCTTTTCATTCTCGCTGGGAAATTGTCTCCTCTGCTATTACCCATGCACATTTATCACTGTTCTCTATTCTCTTCTGCATCGTGATTTTAAAAATAGAAAAGATAACTCTTAGAACAGCTTAATCTTATTTTTTTTTTTTTGTACAGCTTATAAAAGGAAAGAATAGCTCCTAATGTAGGACTGGGAGGGAGATACATAATTTGATGCAGATCAAAAGAATTTCTCATGTTTTCAACTAATAAAAATCTTATGTCATTATAAGCTGTTTCTCAGGTCTATAAATCATAGATACGAAGTTCTTTCCTTAAAGGATGACCCCTGACCTTCTGGCTAAGATGCACATTCATTTATTCCATGACAAAATGATGCCAGTGAATCTATAAACACCAATGATAATGATGACATTATAATGGTGATGATGATGATGATAATGGTTGCTAGTGTTTTTGCAGCTTTTGCTATGGGTCCAATGTTCCAGGTGCTTTACTTAGATTTTTATCTCAGATCCTCAAAACAGCCTCATGAGGAAGGGGTTATTTTCTTCACAGGTGAGGTAAGTGAGCACAGAGTGGTTAAATGTCTTGCTCAAAGTCCCACAGTTAGGGAGAGACAGAGGCAGCATCTGGAGCTGGGTGGTCTATCTCCAGAGCCCACAGTGAGAGAAGTGAAAGGACTCCAGCCCCCAAGCTGAAGAGAGGTACTGCATCAAGTGATATAATGGGATGCTTCCTGAGTTTGAATAATCTGGAGAGTCTTTGGGTTTTCTGTGGAGTAAGCTGCAGGAGCTAGACTCCCTATCCCGCTACTTAGAGAAGATGAAGGAGGGAGAAGTACCTTGTGTTTTTCCAGAAATTCAGGTGTGAGTGTCCACGGAGCATCTCTGATGACTTCATCCACATAGCGACAGTGTCTAAGAGCTTCGTATCTTTCTGCTTCGTTCATCACAGTGAAACCTTTGAATTTGTGGGTGAGGTCATCACTGCAAACTGAAACATGCAAATGTGTTCAATGGTCTTCCTGGTCCAGACCCTGCTCACAACAATTAGGATGCAGCCCTGGCCTCTTCAACAAGACAAAAGGAGCACAGTCTTGCTGGGTGCTTAATCTAATGGAACTTTTTTTTTTTTTTTAAAGCAGGAATAAAGGATCAGGAGAGTGAAGCAAACAAAAATCCGCCAGCAATTCAGACTTTCATTTTAGTGCTAACTACAACTTTGGTTTTTATTATAAGTATTCTCCACACAACCTAATATGACTCTTATATCTGTATTTCCCTATTGTACCCTTTAATGAAAATTACTAATCAGAAATAAAGTGACCAAATGAACAAAGAAGGAAGAGAAAGGAGAATCAAGAGGACTGAATTACATAATTGATCAGTTCCAATTCCTTTACTAGATCACTGTACTTAATAATAACTCAAGTGTGACTCACATGTGCATGCATATACACATACTAATGTACATAGATACAAACACACATACATACTCAGACACACCCATATAAAAACACACAATACGTGTATACATGTACTCATCCAAATGTATGCAAACACACATACACGTAGGGGGTTTCAAAAAGTTCATGGAAAGATTCCATTATCTTTTAATTCCATTTGTCCATGAACTTTTTGAAGCCCCCTTTAAATACACATCTACTCACACACACACTTCTGTTCCCTGGATTAAGGTCCAGTCAGTACACATCAGACCACATAATCAAGAGGAGAAAGTTACACAGAACAAGATCCAATCTAGCAGAGCTCCCGCTTCCCACACCTCTTATCCTTTCTGATCTCAGGTTCCTGAGCATTCAAATGGAGACAGTAATTATCCTTCACTCTCCATGTTAGAATGTGGCACTGCAGGACACTGCGCTGGACCACAAGGTCAGATGGAGCTGCAAGGTTGGCGGTTCAAACCCACCAGCTGCTCCTAGAAACCCTATACAGGGTCACAAGTTGGAACCGACTCACTGGCACTTAACAACAACGGCGTCAGTGTTAGAGTTAGAGAAGCCTGGTGTGGCACTGTCAGCTTTACTAACTGCAAGGCTGGCAGTTCAACCCCACCAGCTGCTCTCAGAAATCCTAGACAGGGTAGCTATGAGTTGAAACCAATTCAACAACACACACAACGACATCAGCCTTAATAGAATTTCTGGTGGTGCAGTGGTTAAGTGCTTAGCTGCTAACCAAAAGGTTGGCAGGTCCATCCCACCAGCCGCTCTGAATCCACCAGCTAATTGGTCCATGGGAGAAAACTGTGGCAGTCTGCTTTCATAAAAATGACAACCTTGGAAATCCTCTGGGGCAGTTCTACTCTGTCCTATCGCGTCACTATGAGTGGAATCGACTCTGGCAATGAGTTTGGTTTTTGGTCAACCTTAGATGGGATTTTTCTGAGGATTTATATTCAAATATTTTGAATTACACTGAAAAGTAAGTAGTGTTTGATACCTTATCTAGAATGTATTTCTTTTGGTTGACAAAAGCAGCTTTTCTAAAGTTCCCCACATGTCCAGAAGAAATACCATTATGGGTACAATTCCTGTTTACCAATACCAGTGAGGATCTGGTGCTAGAATTACTCTGACTGCTCCTCAATATGAGCTTTTTTTCTTTAAGGTATTATGTTCGCTGTTGTTGTTGTTTTTAAGTGCCTTTGAGTCGGTTCTGACCCGTAGAGACCCTGTAGAAGGTTTCCGAGGTGCGACTGATGAACTTGAACCGCCGCCCTTGCAGTTCAAACCGAGTTTGCAGTCCAGCACATTAACCCACAGTGCCACACCAGTACACGCAATAAATTCACAGCTTTTACGTGTACAGGATGTACTTCAAAATAGAAATGTGATTATTCTCTTAAAACCAAATAGTGACTCAAACCCAGAACTAAATCTGGCCACAGAGGAAGTACAGCCAGCAGTCATGCTCACCCTCCTTTAGGAAACCTCCAACTACAACCTTTCCCAGAGATGCCTGTATTCTATGGATCTCCGAAATCACACTGACAAACTGAAGCCAAGATCAGGTACAACCCATTTAATTCCTAGAATGGGCAAAGAAAACTTCTCAAGTTCTATACAGAAGAATCATTTTGTTCCAAGCAGTTGGTGGTAAGAATGGTGAGGGAAGGAATAAATGTCTTCTAGAATTGCCTCTGAGACAAGGTTCAACAAATGGCTACTGATATGTATCATTTAAAATCTGCATAGTAAATTTGAGGCAGATGCTATCTACATAGCATCCATTTGCCTAAAAGATGCCTGGAAGAAACAGGAAGTAAAGGAATAAGAACTACTCCTCCAAATTCCAGACTGCCTTCTTGGCATTGGAAAGAGTGTCCAAACCCCATCAACTTAAAAAAAAAAAAAAAAAAAGTTAATTGTGCTTTCAGTAAAAGTTTACATAGCAGTTGAGGTTCCCATTCAACAATTATTACACAAATTGTTTAAAAAAAAAAAAAAAAAAAGTTAATTGTGCTTTCAGTAAAAGTTTACATAGCAGTTGAGGTTCCCATTCAACAATTATTACACAAATTGTTTAGTGGCATTGGTTACATTCTTCACGGAGCGTAAACATACTCTTTTCCATTCTGGTTGTTCCACTTTCATTAGTCTAGTTTCCCTGCCCCCTTATCATTTCTTCTTTGATTTAAAGTAATGATTGACTGTTTAGTATTATATAAATGACTGTTTAAAGAAGCATAGTTGTTGTTAAGTGCTGTCGAGTCGGTTCCTACCCATAGCGACCCTGCACAGGGTTTCCAAGGCTGTAAATCTTTACGGGAACAGAAAACCTCATCTTTCTCCCACGGAGCAGCTGTTAGTTCCAAACTGCTGACCTTAAGGTTCGCAGCCCGAATTCCTTAAAGAAGCATAGTACTCAATGTGTTATTTAGCTGAAAGGTGACTGCAGATGCAGTTTCAGTTCAAGGTTTAAGGTGTATCAGAGGGCAATAGTCTTGGGGAGTCCTCCAATCTCAACTGGTCTAATAAGTCTAGTTGTTGTTTTTAAAGAATTTGAGATTCTGTTGCACATTTTTTCTCATTCTATCAGATTCCATCTATTGTGGCCCTTATCAGAACAGTTGGTAGTGGTAGTCGGGCCCCATCTAGTTCTTATGGTAGATATAGTAGATAAGGTAGATGAAGCCATTACTCATAGATACTATTTGGCCTGTAGATAGCTTCTTCTCTGAATCTTTGGTTTTCTTCTTTCTCTTTTGTTCCAGATGAGCAGAGGCCAATAGTTCTAACCCCACAAACTTTTTCATTGTTTTTCCCAAACCTGCACCTCCTGTAGTCTTCCTCATCTCAGTAAATGGTATGAAATCCTTTTAATTACTCAGGACAAAGCCTTGGAGTCATCATTGAGTCTGTCCTTCCATACTCTGCATCCAATCCATCATCAAAACTTCTGGCTCTACCTTCAAAATGTACCCAGAAGCCATGGATTTCTCAGTATCTCCATTGCTTCCATCTTGGTCCATTTACCACCTCTCCCCTGGATTACTGCAGTGGCCTCCTATCAGATCTCCTGATAGCCTTGTCCATCCCCCAACAACTTGTTCTCATCAACCAGAATCGGCCTGTTAAAACCTGTCAGAACCTGGATTCAGAACTCTTCCCATCGTCCATAGAGTAAAAGCTAAAATCCTCCAGGAGCCTGCAAGTCTCCTGTGTGAGCCACATCTCCAGACTATAAGGCCATGCAAGATTGTGGGAGTCCAGCTCTCACAGGGTCGGGAGACTCGAGAGGAGATGCGGAATCGGCGAAAGTGAAAGTAATTGAGGAGTCTCCGCTTAGTTGGCTGATGGAGTTCACTCTGCTCCGGCTCAGCAACAGTCTTTATTTATGCTTAAAGTTATACAATGCATAATGATTTGATACTTTGATATTTTCCCTTGAATTATTACACATTTTAAATTATATCATTCTTTCACCTTGTGATTATAAAATCTTAACAAAAGTATTTCTATAATGTCCCACTGGACCTTTCCATGTCCTGTTCATTTTCTGACTATTAAGTAGTTTTCTTCTGACATCATCTTTTTTTCTATGCAAATGATACATTGCAAATGATACGTAGCGTAGTGGTTACAAATCGGGCTGCGAGCCGCAAGGTCAGCAGTTCGAAACTACCATTAGTTCCGCGTAAGAAAGATGAGGTGGTCTGCTCCCGTAAAGATGTACAGCCTCTGAAACCCTGTGTAGGGTCGCTATGAGTCAGAATTAACTCCACGGCACACAACAACAACAACAACAGTAAAAGATCAAGTTAAAACTTACACAAATCATTTCCACCTCCCAAACCCCTAATTACATTCTCTTTCTAACGTGTTTCTATCCACTCAATCATCTTTGCCTACACTACCTTATTGTTTCTGCTAGCTATTTATCCATCTTCTATCCTACATAAAGTACTACTATTTTCTATAATAACAGCATTACTAACATCTTTTCAATTATTTTGTTTTTCTAAAGTATTCACTAAATTGCTTAATAACAATGTTTCTATGTTTCTTTCTTTTGGGGCCATGAGGCATGTTAAAGGGCCCAACCTGGTTAATTGCTGCAAAAAAGGTAGACTATTAAATTTTGACCACTTTTTATTTATGTTCACCATTCTCTGCCCAATTACGTAGGTTCCTGTATATGGTAGTGGGGGGTGTGTGTGGATTCTAGCCAGTAATTGACTTAGGTGGGGCCCATAGGGGTCGGTCAGCTTTACTTTAGTTGCTTATCTGCTTCTGTGATCTCATAAATGCAGCTGCTTTGTATTTGGGTTTTCTGTGAGAGGGAATACTTTAATTTGTCTAAAATTCTCTTTGAATCTAATCCAGTAAAGCTGAAACAATTGTTGCAAGACTGGTTTTTCCAAAGCTCTGCAGAACTCACAGTGGGAGCCGTGAATGTGGCAGTACAATATATCCCCACAAGTGGAATCAGAACCATCCCAAAGAAGAGAGATAAAGGGTGCTTTCC